ATCGTCCATGGGCCAGATTTAGAAGGCGATTGGGCCGGATCTGACTCCCTGGCCTTAGTTTGCCTATCCATGGGTTAGAGCGTGGTGCCGATAATGCCAAGGTTGCAGGTTCGATCCCCGTATGGGACAGCTGCATATTCCTGCACTGAAAGGGAGTTGGGCTTGATGATCCTCAAGGTCCCTTCCAACTCTACAGTTCTATGATTCTATGTGCACATAGTCCTTCTGACCCACAGGCAGAAATGTGCATGTACGGGCATGGCTGGTGTTGATGTGGATCCCAATGGATGGGTTGGATGCAATATGGATGGCATGCACAACTGCCCCTGGATGGACCTACTGTAGATGGGGCCAAGATTTTCAAGCAGCCCCAGCTGCTTTCCCGCCCTGTCAGTTGGCTACGTCTTTCTTTCTTTGCACTCTCTTTTCCCTATTTAATCTCATTTGTATCGGCCCATTGAAGTAGGTGGACATTTGCTCTCTGAATCACCCAATTAAAGGTTTCAATCCAATACGCATCCCGGTGAAGTATGTGCTGGTTTCTGCCTAAACCTTTGACAAATAGCAAACTTGGTTCTCAGTGTGTGGTATAGTGTCAGAAGAGCACTGGACTCAAGTTTGGTGTTCAAATCTCTGCACAACCACAGAAACCACAGGGTGTCAGACTTGGATCATGTGGAGTTGAGAATGAAGAAAAAGGAGGAGAGCAAATAAGAAGTCCCTTAGTTCAGTGTTTCCCAACCGGTGTTCCGCGGCACACTAGTGTGCCGCGAGGCGTTGCCTGGTGTGCCGTGGGAGGGAGGCGGGCGAGGCGGGCGGCGAGAGGCGGGGCGGCGGCAGCGAGGATCCGCGTCGAGCCGGGGGCGGCTCCACGGTGGTGGTGCCGAGGTTTCTCTCTCCATTCTCCCCTCACACACACACACAGGAAATAACACAGGATCAGCTGACAGGACCCGGCCAATGGGGCGGCGGCGGGGCAGCGCGCGCAAAAGGGAGGAGCGCGAGACAGCGGACGAGGAGGAGGCCGGCATGTCCGGGCAGCAGCAGCAGCAACAGCAGCAGCAACTCCCGGCGACGGCTCCTCAAGCCCCGGGCAACCCTACTCCCTCACCGGCCTCGGCCGCCCTCCTGCTCCACCCGCCGCCTCCCCCGCCGCCGCCGGCCACCTCGGCCCCGCCGCCGCCCCCTCCTCCGCCCGCTATCGCCGCCACCACCACAACAGCCGCCGCCGCCGCCTCAGCTGGGCCCATGCCTGCCGGGAGCGGCGGCGGCAGCAGCAGCAGCAGCGCCCCGGCGCCCTTCCCTCCCGGCGTGACGCTGCGCGCTGACGTCACGGGGCTGTAATGGTGGTGTGCCTCAAGATTTTTTTCATCAAACAAGTGTGCCTTTGCCCAAAAAAGGTTGGGAAACACTGCCTTAGTTCTTCAGGTCAGAGAGTATCACCTGACCTAGTCTTTCACCTGGTCTGTCAGGATAAGGAAATCATTTGCCTGTTCTTTGTGCAGTTCCATCTTTTGGCCAAGCCTGAATCAGTTCACACAGGTTGAATCCTTGCCTGACGGCCCTCAGGCCACAACTTCAGGACTTGTTCTGTGCTCAGAGCCTCATCCCTAGTGACCTTGGGCCAGTTACTAACTCTCACCAGATCCTACTTTGGAAGGCTGTTGTGAGACTATTTCCCTAAATTATTTTGGAAGGTGGGAGGGATAGTTGGGTGAGAAATAAAGGCACTGTTTCTTGAGTTACAAAGCGGCTTTTCTAAGACTTGTGTGAAATACTGTTAACATTGTTCTCTCTTCTACCCCCTTCGCTCCACAACTTTGCCCCCACAGAACGACGAAATCTTAGTTACAGAAGGGCAGCTTTTCGGAAGGTACCAGGGCTGCTGCATCAAAGTTCTCGACAAGGGAAATAAGGTGAAAAGGACTATAGGCCCGCGGTACGGGCGTGTTAATACCTTCGAAAACCCTTCTGGCATCTGTGAGGATGGGCACGGGAACATCTTCGTATCCGACGAAGGAGAAAACTGCATTGTGATGTTTAATCCCGACTCATCCCTCAGTACTGTATTGGTGAACGAGGGCCTGCTAGGACCAAGCGGACTCTCCATGCTGGACCATGGGATGATAGCTGTCACCGACTGCTACAACCACTGTGTTAAAATCTATCGGTACAAATGAGCAAGTCGCCGCCTTCGATGAGCAAGGGAACTCACTGGAATAAACACAGCTGACTCTCTGCCTTCCCAGCCTTGCTTCCAGCTTCTAGCTAACATAACTCAACTATCCACTCTGGTCTTTGCTTTTCTAACTACCAGCTAGCTAAGAGAGGGAGGGGGCCCACCCGTTTGTTATCTGGCACAAAGCCACTTCCTTTGTTACTTTAATGGCCCATACTTAGGCTATTGCCTCATCAGGATGCTACGCTGGCTAGTCCAGAAATCTGAATTCTTACTTGCTGGATCCAGGAATTAGAAGAGTCTTGGCATGCAGCCTAACCACCCACCCCAAACCATAACATCCCTAAAGCCTGTGATATATTACATTGGTACCTCGGGTTAAGAACTTAATTCGTTTTAGGGGTCCGTTCTTAACCTGAAACTGTTCTTAATCTGAAGTACCACTTTAGCTAATGGGGCCTCCCGCTGCTGCCACACGATTTCTGTTCTCATCCTGAAGCAAAGTTCTTAACCCGAGGTACTATTTCTGGGTTCACGGAATCTGTAACCTGAAGCGTCTGTAACCTGAAGCGTCTGTAACCCGAAGTACCACTGTACTTATGTATACAGTCTGCAATGTTTGGCCCAAACCGATGCATGGCAAATATACCCACTCCTGCAGCCATTTTGGATGGTCCCAGGGACCAAAATCTGTAGCTGATTTTCCATCCCAATGCAGCACATCTATGCTTGCTGACACGGGAAGAAAAGGCATGTTTCTGTTTCTGTAATGGCCTTCGGAGGCAGGCTGGATGGGCACACCCCATTTGCTATTTTGCAGCAATGTGCTTATGTCTCCTGTTCTAAAAAGCCTCATGGCCACCTTTATAGAGTAGTTAAAACAAATTACGTTCACATACATGGTCAGCCTGCAGTTAGAAAGCTGAGCATGGGCGAGGGAGAGAAAGAAATCAAAGGAACAAGTACACGCCTGCCCCATTCCTAAAAAACCTCTTGCTAAGAAGCTGCCGGACAGCGGAGCAGATGAGAGGTGGTGGACCCTCCTTCCTTGGAGACTTATAAGCAGAGGCTGGATGATCAACTGCCATGTATAAAATCATAATTGTAGAGTTGGAAGAGATCCCTTGGGGTCATCTAGTCCAACCCCCTTGCAATGCAGGAATCTCTTGCCCAATGTGGGGCTTGAACACACAACCCTGAGTCTCATGCTCTACCAACTGAGCTATACTTATACCCAGTGCTTCTTTTCTTTGTTCAGCTGGAGCTCACTAGAATCCCATTCCGGCACCTCTCGGGTGGGTGCCATTGACATTTGAAGAGAACAAGGGAGAAGTTTGTGGTGAGCTCCAGCCCCTCTTTTTCTAGAAAAATATCCCTGCTTGCAACTAAGATCTAGGTGAGATTCCTGCATTGCCTCCATAGCCTTTTCTTCTCCCGAAGGTGTCCTGCAAGTAGTAATAATAATAATAATGATAATGATAATAATTTATTTATACCCCAGCCACTCTGGGCGGCTTCCAAAAAAAATATTAAAATACTGTACTACATCAAACATTAAAAGCTTCCCTAAACAGGGCTGCCTTCAGATGTCTTCTAAAAGTCTGGTAGTTGTTGTTCTCTTTGACATCTGATGGGAGGATGTTCCACAGGGAGGGCGCCACTACCAAGAAGGTCCTCTGCCTGGTTCCCTGTAACTTGGCTTCTCGCAGCGAGGGAACCGCCAGAAGGCCCTCGGTGCTGGACCTCAGTGTCCGGGCTGAACGATGGGGGTGGAGACGCTCCTTCAGGTATACAGGACCTAGGCCGTTTAGGGCTTTAAAGGTCAGCACCAACACTTTGAATTGTGCTCGGAAATGTACTGGGAGCCAATGCAGGTCTTTCAAGACCGGTGTTATATGGTCTCGGCGGCCGCTCCCAGTCACCAGTCTAGCTGCCGCATTCTGGATTAGTTGTAGTTTCCAGGTCACCTTCAAAGGTAGCCCTTCAAAGGTAGCAAGGCAGCAGAGGTTCAGGATCAGAGTTTTCCTTCTCCTAAATGGGCTACCTTCCCAGGTGGACAAGCCCCATCTGCCCCTTCACTTCCCTCTAGAGCACGTGAGGACCACCTTCTTGACCGCTGGACCCACTATGGCTCTGGTCCACTCAATCTGACGGAGCCTGTCTTCACATGCAGGAGATGTCCCTAACTCACCAAGGATTTGACACCCATCTGCTACCCTCACCTGGTTTAGCCATTTCCTGGGATGTGGCCACGGTCCATGCTGACAGCATCTAGGAGCCACTGTTGAGTGCAGGGGGGTGGGGGACCAAAGGTGTACAAACTACCTTTTTGGCACCACAGAAGTGGGGTGCAAACTCTTGAATAAAATATTGGGGGACCCAGGTAAGACACACACCCCACACACAAAATCAATCGCAATATGTGGTGCACGCACGCCATTTGAATCCACAGGATCCTGTTCATTTGAAACGAAAATGTCAACATAGTCCGGATGAGATCAATCTTTCTGCCTCTTCGCAAGGCGGGGGGAGAGAACCTTATGAGCCGACAAACAGGTTTATTCATTTATTATCACCCTTGCCCAATCTTTCCAGAATGACCATAAGGCATTTAATTTTTTTAAAAATAAAACCGGCACGCAATCATCTGCTTGGATACAACAGCTGAGTTCATTGCTTCTGGTTTGCAAAGCGTTCTAACTACCAAAGTGGAACCCCCAAACATTTATGGACGATTGCAGTCTACCTTCCCGGTTTGGTGATCTTCCTGCAGCTGCTATTCTTGGAAAGCGCCACGAGTCTTTTTGTCTCCCTGCAGCCTCCATAGGCAAAGGGTCGCGGCGAAGTCGTGCAAGGAGCCTTTTGCTTCCTTGGCAGCAAAGCTGACGGCGGGCGCTGCATGATGGTCTCGCGCGTCCTCGGCTCCCTCCGCAGAGCTGCGTTATCGGGGTGCAAAGCCCAGGTAAAGCCGGGAAAGAGGCGCCGGGCTTCAGATTTCTTCTCCTGACTTCCCACGTCCATCGGGAACGAGGCTGCCAACTTTTAAACTGCTTTGCTTTGCTTTTCTGTGCAGCTGCGCATTTAAACGCGCCCATGGGCATGGAGACCATACCATTTTTAACCGCATCATATTTTCCGGGAAGGGTAGGGGGAACCTTCACCTGCTCATTTTCACGCAGCGAGCTCCTGTTTTAGACACCCGGGATTTGGGGAAAGGAAGGTTCCCAGTTCCCACGTGGGGAGGCAGACACGCTTGTAGGGTCCCCTGCCTCTAAGAGCTGCACGACAGGCAGGCACCCAACAGGTGTGTGGCGCTTCCAAGATGGGCAGGTGTTACCTGTTGGATTTCTGCCTGCTACGTGAATCTTTAACGGTGCAGGAGCCTGCCGGGAGAGGAGGAAAGCAAAGGCATGCTGGAAAGGAATAATATTCCTTTAGTATGAATCTCAACCATTGCTGACTCTCTTAGATTAGTTGCGTCATTCGGTCTGGATCTCCAGCTTTCTAACTGGCCCCTGTGCCTTTAAGGTACAGGTGATTCACCTTCTTCAGCTCAAGAACTGCCGTCAAGCTTAGCCAACCGGAAGGTTGCAGGCCAGAGGTGATCATTGGCAAAGGCCCCGCCAAAAACGCACACACAGCACATTGCATTGCTGGGTTGAGATATTTCCTGCAAACTCTGCACTGTAAAGGGGCAATTTCTTCCCCTTGGCAGTACAGTGGTACCTCGGGTTAAGTACTTAATTCGTTCTGGAGGTCTGTTCTTAACCTGAAACTATTCTTAACCTGAACCACCACTTTAGCTAATGGGGCCTCCCGCTGCCACCGCGCCACCGGAGCACAATTTCTGTTCTCATCCTGAAGCAAAGTTCTTAACCCGAGGTACTATTTCTGGCTTAGCGGAGTCTGTAACCTGAAGAGTATGTAACCTGAAGCATCTCTAACCTGGAGTACCACTGTATTGCTGCCCTTCAGGGTCTACACTGGCCCCTTGTTCTCTTGCAGAAATGATTCAAGCTACTGATCCTAATCTACAGGTTTCCCAGTGCGCTCACTTCTTTGTATCCTATTACAATCTCCAAGATAATGAATCTTTTTGAGGATGCCCTTTTCACGAGACCATATGTGCATCAGAAGGCAACTGGATTAAAGACAGATGTTCCCATGACTGCCTCTCCCTCACAGCTGCCCAAGTTACAGAATTCTCCTTCTGTTGATGTTACAGAGCATTTAAATATATATATATATATATATATATATATTGTAAGACCCACTGCTGTCCTTTGGAATTTAGGAATAAGTCAGGAAAAGGTGGGAAATTTCAAGGAAGTTGATAAAATGTTTTTATGCGATTCTTCTCTCTCTGCTGTTTTTTCTTCCCCAAACTTGTCTTCAGGAAATGCTATGAATTTAAATTTATATATGTAGCCATTGAAGATGAAAAGCTAGTGAGCAAACAAGATCAAACTTGTTTAGGGAAATTTTTAATGCTTGGTGTTTTATGGTTTTTTTAATATTCTGTTGGGAGCCGCCCAGAGTGGCTGGGGAAACCCAGCCAGGTGGCCAGGGTGTAAATAATAAATATAATAATAATAATAATAACAATAACAATAACAATTATTATTATTGTTATTAATTTAGGTTTGTTGCACTAAGTAGATTAAAAAATTAAAGCATTTGCAGCTTCACATACTAAAGCTATACCTTGTAATAGAGCATACTACTGATCCAAATAATTATTAGCATGGTTGCAAACCTAGAAACAAAACCCTCATTTCATTTTCTAACAGGAATTCTTGCTTTTATGTCTCTCATTTTAAGCCAAGTCTGTATCAGGTTTGCTCCTCTCTTGCCACGGGACCCAGGCAAGATGTTGGCACCTTCTATGAACTCCGTACTTACGATATCAAACCAGCAAAGGCAAAGGAATTCCTCGAGTTGGTCAATAAAAGCATCAACATTCGCATGGCTCACTCAGAGATGATTGGATTCTGGACAGCGGAGTTTGGGTCAATGAATAAGGCTTTCCACATTTGGAAATATGGTAGGTACTGCGCGGTAGCGCTTTAACCATGTGGGACCTCTATGCAGATCCCGGGTAGGATATTTCTCAAGCGATCGTAGATATTTTGGGAAGGTTTACTGCCAGGTTAAAGGTAATGGTAAAGGGACCCCTGACCATTAGGTCCAGTTGTGGACGACTCTGGGGTTGCGGCGCTCATCTCGCTTTATTGGCCGAGGGAGCTGGGTACAGCTTCCGGGTCGTGCCAGCATGACTAAGCCGCTTCTGGCGAACCAGAGCAGCGCATGGAAATGCCGTTTACCTTCCCGCCAGAGCGGTACCTATTGATCTACTTGCACTTTGACGTGCTTTCAAACTGCTAGGTTGGCAGGAGCAGGGACTGAGCAATGGGAGCACACCCCGTCGTGGGGATTTGAACCGCCGACCTTCTGATCGGCAAGCCGTAGGCTCTGTGGTTTAACCCACAGCGCCACCCCCGTCCCACTGCCAGGTTAATTCGCTGCAATTATTGTAAATGTCTGTATCCAAATTTAGACCTGGGATTCTGGAGTCCAGGTGGCTGAAGCCAGCGATTAGAAGCAAGTGCTGTGTTTGACCAAGCAATAGCCCAGACTCCCAGTTTTTGCATCAGTCCTAGTCAGCACAGAGACTTCCAATGGCCTTTCAATCACAGAAGTTGATATTGCACACCTAGGCTGTGCCCATGCTAGAGCATTCATGCAAAGGTGGACCAGCTTTTTTCTGTCTGCGTGTTTGTGTAGCTTCGTCCACACATGAGCAATTTCGGTCTTATGCTCCAAAATCATCCTCAATGTTTCCCATCCACGCTGGCAGGCAGTGCTCGACGGGACATATTTGCACTGTGTCTTGTGCCATCCTTTCCATTGATATTTCCCTACCCACCATAAATTCTGAAAACCTGATGGGTTTCTTGGCACATCGGTATTTGTCTCTATACACCTGCTTAAGAAACAAATTGTCCTTGTGCAAGAACAAAATTCCATCATACCAGATTATTACAGTGGTACCTCGGTTACAGACGCTTCAGGTTACAGACGCTTCAGGTTACAAACTCCGCTAACCTAGAAAAAGTGCCTCAGGTTAAGAACTTTGCTTCAGGATGAGAACAGAAATCGTGTGGCAGTGCAGCAGCAGGCCCCATTAGCTAAAGTGGTGCCTCAGGTTAAGAACAGTTTCAGGTTAAGAACGGACCTCCAGAACGAATTAAGTTCTTAACCCAAGGACCACTGTATTATTATTATTATTATTATTATTATTATTATTTTTATTATTATTATTAGCCTGCCCATCGAACCTGGCCAAAGGAGTTCTAACACTTCTTTGCTTTCTTATATAGACAACTTTGCCCACAGGAGAGCTGTAAGGAAAGCTGTGGTCGCTGATAAGGAATGGCAGGAAAGATTGTCAGTACTTCTGCAATTCCTAGACAAGCAGCATATGGAAATTGCTTACATGGTCCCCTGGTGTGAGCTCGGGAGTTCTCCAAAGCCAGGTGAGCTGTCTTACTGCACTAACAGTATACGGTACTGGTTTTTAGTATTGGAACAAATTTCAGGGAGCATTTCGAGGAGAGGGCATAAGTAACATTACTGGTCCTTGTGCCACCAGAGAGCTCTGGTTAAAGTTACCACAGGCTGCTCTGGCCCTTTCTGGTCACTGGGTCAAGGGGGAAGAGGAATTCCTATGAGAAGTGCCCTGGAAATGTGGTGCTGTGCAGATTCCTAATTTCTGGAAGAAGCCTCTCCAAAGCTCATGGGCGTAGCCAACCGGGGGGGGGGGGCAGCTGCCCCCCAATCAATAAAAATACATAGCTAACTGAGGTTCTGCCCCCCCAAAAGGCTTGCCCCTCCTAACAAAAGGCCTGGCCCCCCACAACAAAAATCCTGACTGTATCCATGCCAAAGCTCTTCATTGTTTGCAGTTGAATTTGAAAATTGCTTCATACTGTAGTAGAATCATTTGGTCAAAAATAAAACAGACATACAAGGAGGCAAGCAGGAGAAACAGAAGTGGAATTTTTCTAGCCTGATCTTTCCCCCCATTAACGGACCTAAGCTAAAGCTTTGGTTCAAAACATCCATCTGATGGATTCAAAAAACAGTCCATGTCTCCCAGTATATTTCATCGTTCATATCAGTATAATATCTTTCCATATCCGTAGCTTCCCCCTGAGATAAAATTGTTTTGCCTACTTCAGATCTTGAGAGGTTTTTAATCTCCTCCTCTAAAATACACCTACCCACAGATAAGGGTAGAAGAACTAGACGCTATATGGATTTGCAGGGGAGAATTGGCAGTGATGGGTACGTAGTTGTAACTGCTCAAAAACGAAAAATAAATTAGAAACCTAAGCACGCTGTTCAAAGAGAGGGAAGCACAGATGTTCATGAAATGCAGAAATAAGATTTTGGGTCGTCATCAAAGAACTATAAAGTAGGCTGAAAATAAATTGTGAAGCAAATAGGAATGTTGGTGAAGATATCGGCATAGGGTGAGCAGCTTTTTATTTTGTATTTTACTATAATTTCTCTCTCCTCCCTCTACCCCACCCCACCCCACCCCACCCCTCTAGGGGTTTATGAGTTGGTTACTTATCAGCTGAAACCAGGTGGACCCGCTTTGTGGGGAAAGTCATTTAAAGCAGCAATTGATGCGCACATCAGCAAAGACTATTCCAAACTGATTGGTGTCTTCCATACAGAATATGGATTACTTAATACAGGTACAAAACCTATTCCCTATGTTGTTATGATCTGTAGTTTCACACATAGAATCATAGAACTGTAGAGTTGGAAGGGACACCGAGTATCATCTAGTCCAGGCATGTCCAAAGTCTGTTTCAGAGGCCTAATCTGGCCCGCCTGCCGGTGTAATCCGGCCCCTGTGGCAGTTTATTTCCTGGGGTAAAATCCTAAAAAAACCTCAACAGCTTCAATCCTAAAAAAGGATCAACAACTTTGGTTGGCCCTCACGGCCCTTCACTTCATCAAATCTGGCCCTCTTTGAGAGCCAGCACAGTGTAGTGGTTAAGAGCGGTGGACTCGTAATCTGGTGAACCAGGTTCGCGTCTCCGCTCCTCCACATGCAGCTGCTGGGTGACCTTGGGGCAGTCACACTTCTCTGAAGTCTCAGCCCCACTCACCTCACAGAGTGTTTGTTGTGGGGGAGGAAGGGAAAGGAGAATGTTAGCCGCTTTGAGACTCCTTAGGGTAGTGATAAAGTGGGATAGCAAATCCAAACTCCTCCTCTTCTTCTCTTTGAAAAAAGTTTGGACACCACTGATCTAGTCCAGCCCCCTGCAATGCAGGAATATGCAGCTGTCCCATACGGGGATCAAACCGGCAACCTTGGCATTATCAGCACCACATTCTATCCCAGTGAGCTATCCAGGCTGTTGGCCATGCTCTTAGACATGCTGGTCTCCATTCATTTCTGTGGAAGGACCTGACATGCACTGACATTCCTTTGTGCTATGGATTATGTCCAGTGGTGAAGCAGAAAGTAATATCTTGAAACTGTTGTCTTAATCCTGTGACTTCTCCCCTTCTTTGTTAATCACTTCCATTTATCATCACACCCTCCCATATTTGGCTGTGCATAGGAGGTAATGAGGAAAGGTACTTCTGAACGTGCACAGAGTGCACAGAGAGACATAAGAAGAGTCCTGTTGGGTCAGGTCAAAGTCTCTGTGCACGTTCAGAAGTACCTTTCATCATTACCTCCTATGCATCTGATTGGCTACTGTGAGAACAGGTTGCTGGATGATGCCCATTGGGACGTGTGCGCCCAGGATCTCCCTCTCTAGATCTGGGTGTTGCAGATATTAATATTGTGCAGTTTGAAGTAACTGGGTGCATGAAAACTGACTCCTTTTGGAAATGAAGCATTGTCCAGACCCATGAAAATATTGTTCAAATTTTACTAGCAGAACTCTTCAAAATAAAATCGAAACATCAAATGATATATCCAAAAATATTCAATGTCTTGTGCTGTCCAGCATAGGCTCTGCATCTTAGAAAATATGAAATAACCCAAACAGACCTATAAGCAAAGGTCTGTCTCTCTCTCTCTCTCCCCCCCCCAACCTGCTTTCCAGCCTTTATTGGCCTTAGTGTCATGGTCTGATTCACAGGCGATCAAAGTCCCAGCTGGGGACATCGGGACCAGGGGCAAGATGGCGGGGTGGGAGCAGGAATGGGAGTCCAGAAGCCAGAAAGCCAAGAGTCAGAGGGTCAGAGAGCCAGGAGTCCGAGGATCAGGAAGCAAGGAGTCACGAAGTCAGGGGTCCAAGGATCAAGAAGCAAGGAGTCAAACACAGCAAGGCAGGGAATGTGTTGCTGTGGCAAAGAGCTGAAGGGAAAATGCTGACCTTATATCCCTTCCTGGCTCTTGCCACCAGGTGCTGTGAGTTACCAATCAGCCTCACCTGTGTGGCCGTGCCTTGCCTCTTCAGAACAAATTTAGGAAGGCCCCAGTCCTGCAGAGTCCTATTGGTCACAGGGCCTGGCTCCTGCACACACACCTGACACTTAAGCTGAGAGCTTCATTTACATCTTCACTCCATAGAGTTTGGGAGACCAAGATTCAAAGGCAGCTCCCTTCAAAATGGAGATTTGCAGCTCAATACCTTCATCACGTGATCTAAGGTTACAACACTCACATGTTAACTAGCAGAAAACAACAATTAGATTCACTCAGCAAGAGCCCAGAGTCCTTTAGAAAACAACACGGGAAAGACCCCAATATTAGCAACCCTTCAGCAATACATGTTTAGCCATATTCCATTTTAAACCTTCACTAGTACACATACATTTTTCATTTCTGTTTGAATTGAATCAGATATACTTCACCGTGGATAAACATCTTCCAGAGCTGACCTTGGTTTTGCTCCTCTTTTCACAGTTCATGTGCTTTGGTGGTATGAGAATCCTGATAGCCGTGCGGCTGGGAGGCATTTTGCCCACGAAGATGCCAGGGTGGTAGCAGCAGGTAAGAGGTGATGGTGTGTCTTGGCGTATGTGCCAACATTTCTTTAACGCTGCTCAGAAAGTTTAACCCGGTTTTGTCCTACATTGCATTTACTTTCAGTACGGGAGAACGTTCAGTACTTGGAATCCCAGCAAAACATGCTCCTGATTCCTGCACCATTTTCGCCTTTGAAATAGTTCTCTAACAGATGAAAGGCAACAGATGAACACATCCTTTCTTTATTTCGGCCCTTTTATCCTCCAATTGCAATGTTTGTGCCTTGATGCAAATTGAGTGTAGCCTTGCAAAATGTTGAAATACGTGTGCGAAACTTGATTTTCCCGCCGCTCGCTAGCAAAGAATACACACTAGCTTGCTTGTCTTAAAAATATGTAGATTCAAACTATATTTATGTATTTACTTATTATGACATTTATATCCCATTTGTCCTCCAAGGGATTTAAGTGGGCTTATATGCTTCTTCTCTCCATTATATCCTCACAACAGCCCTGAAAGGTAGGCTAGGCTGAGTGATAGTGATTAGTCTGAGGTCACCTGGTAGGCTTCATGGCCAAATGGAAATTTGAACCCCTGGTCTCTCAGTTCCTGGCCTGAATATCTAACCACACTGGCTCTCAAATTCTGTGAACATCTTAGGTTACATTTAACACACAATCAGCTCTTAGGTTTTTATCATAGCTAAGAGAAGTGAAAATATGCAGGACAAATCTGAGCTGATGCTTTTTGTTTTATGCACATACCGTTTTAAAATCGTGAAAAGTAAAGTAAAATAAAATATTACACCTCCAAACATCCCAGAATCCCACCGGATTAATCTGAGCCTTAATGGGGAATCTACCATACATTAACATATAATTCCTAGTACTGCTTTTGCAGATTAACATCCACTATCCAGATTACAATGAAGCATGAACAGTGTTAAAATTAGAGATGCATTTCCCAATAATGTTTTAACTAGAATAGATTGTTCAGGCTACATCTGATTACTTTGTGGGATTCGTTATGGGAAGAAATGACGATCAGGGTCGTCAATGTAAAATTAAAAAAATGGATGAAGTCCTTCTGAAACACCCCCCAACTGAATTGTGTGTGTAATATTTTAGTAACTGGTTTTTTCCTGCATTATAGAGGACAACTATTTCCCCAAGGTTTAAGCTTTTAAGCCCAATAAACTTTTATAAAACCCCGAAGTTTTATAGCACAATGAGAGGTTAGCTGTCAACTATCCCAAGTCATACGCCCACACCTCTGGGAAAGTGTCCTCTACAATCCGTTTCAACATGTCATTCTGGCACATGACACTACCAGATATGGTGACCTATATGGCAAAAGCAGAAATAGAACCGAAGACTAAATCTCAAGGGGTGCAATACTGTTTAGTCGCCTGGGCCTCTTTCCTGATGCATACCGCTATCTCACTCCACAGGTATATTTCCATGAGTCACAAAAGGAACTCTGCTTTGATTTTGAAATTAGTTTTTCTGTTTCTAAAATCACACCACACACAACAGTGGGGATTTTGTACCATGTCCCCCAACACTCCCCCATTTCCCTTTTTAATTTAACATAATCAGACAGAACAGGAATTCTATAAAGCTCGCTGATTATTTTGTTACTTTCTTTTTGGTTAGTTCTAATAAAGATATTAACCTGCCAGCGCTTTGATGTTTTTATTCTAATACACCAGGCACCCCCAAACTCGGCCCTCCAGATGTTTTGGGACTACAACTCCCATCACCCCTAGCTAACGGGACCAGTGTTCAGGGATGATGGGAGTTGTAGTCCCAAAACATCTGGAGGGCCGAGTTTGGGGGCGCCTGTAATACACCAATGTGGTCGCAAGCATTTCAGACTGCCTGATTTGTATACCTTAAGTGTGTGTGTACGCACATGGACATTAGATATTTACATATATTTTGGACTTTTAAATCCTACCAGCAGCACTAGTTCCTGCTACCTCTGGGATCCATGCCCTTGGCAATTCAGGAGCTTTCATTCTTCTCACCAGCTGCCCATCCTGGCTATGCAGAGGGATGTCTGGGACTGACAGGCCCCGAGAGAGCTTGTTGCTTAAGGAAGCACCACCAAAAACTGCCTCTCAGAATAATACATACCACGCAGGGTGCGTTGCTGTGTGTGGAAGGCTGCTGCTTTTCGTTATGTGCACGTCAGGATCCATCACCCGTTTTGTTTTCGTTGTTGTTGTTAATTGAATTTATATACCACTCTATACCCGGAGGTCTCAGTGCAGTTCACATGGCAAAATCAAAATCAAAACAACCACATTTTAAAAGGTCATAGATGTCAATCAGATCAACCAAAGGCCTGGTAAAAAAAGGAATGTTTTTCCCTGGTGCCTAAAGCTGTATAATGAAGGCGCCAGCGAACTTCCCTGGGGAGAGCATTCCACACACAGGGAGCCACTGCAGAGAAGGCCCTTTCTCGTTTTGTCACCCTCTAGACCTCTTGAGGAGGAGGCAGATGAAAAAGGGCCTTGGAAGATGATCTTAGAGTCTGGGTAGGTTCATTTATATATTGTTAAAGGTAAAAGGACCCCTGACCATTAGGTCCAGTTGTGACTGACTCTGGGGTTGCAGCGCTCATCTCGCTTTATTGGCCGAGGGAGCCGGCGTACAGCTTCCGGGTCATGTGGCCAGCATGACTAAGCCGCTTCTGGCGAACCAGAGCAGCGCACGGAAATGCTGTTTACCTTCCCACCGGAGTGGTACCTATTTATCTTCTTGCACTTCGACGTGCTTTCAAACTGCTAGGTTGGCAGGAGCAGGGACTGAGTAACGGGAGCTCACCCCGTCGCGGGGATTCGAACCGCCAACCTTCTGATCGGCAAGTCCTAGGCTCTGTGGTTTAACCCACAGCACCACCCACGTCCTATATACTGTTACACATGCCTAATAACAAGCTGGCTCCTTCATCTAGCTGCAACAAAACACGTCTCTCCCCTATCGGTTTCTACAGCCATGGCAGGCGCCGTAACCTTCCGATGGTTTGACTTCACCCACAAAGCCACCCCCCCAACAGTAGATGCCAGCATGTGTTATGTGCCACATTCAATCTCTGCCAAGCGGAAGATCCCAGGGCTCAGGGTTGGGTTTCACTTGGAAAATCAAGCAGCCTGCAGCGTCTTAGAGATATGGCTTACTCACACATATTTGCACCTTCAGTGGAGAAGGGTGCAGAACATTGCGCACCAAGAAGCTCTCTCCAGTTGCTCCCCTCCTAGCTTCAGCAAGTTTGGGTCCCAGGCAGCAGGCAGTCGTGGCCCCCGGCCTCTCAGGGAAGCCTCCTCCTGCCAGTTCCGCGTGGAGTCCTGCCTAATTCTCTCCTCGTTCGCAAGACACCTTGCCAAAAACGAAAACCCCCTGTGCGTAAAAGGACTTTCACGACGCCCACGTCGCCCTGGCCACCCTCTTCCCTCCCTCACCAGCAGCGTCTTTTGAATTGTAATGGTCGGGCGATCTCCCCCCCCCCCGCCAGCCGCCCAGCACGCGCCCCCCACACCGCGGGCTCGCGGAAAGAAAGATATGGCGAGGGGGACGCGCGCGCAAAGGTCGCCGCCGTAGCCGCGCGTCTTCTGGGCGGCGGCCACGAGGTGCGCGCCGTCCAATGCTTTCTGCCGGGCGGGCCGGGCGAGGGCAGCGGCCGCCGTGCGTCCAGGAAGCGCCTCTCGGTGCATTTAAGGGCGGCTGGGCTGCATTGTAGTTGCCGCCTCGTCCATCTCCCGCGGGGAGACCATGCTGGCATCCCGCGCGCTCTTCGGGAGAGTCGCCGCAGCGGCGCGACGGGCCACCGCTGAGGTAAAAGGAGAGCCCGAAAAGGGGTGAAAAGGAGCCCGAAGGAGGAGGGGGGACAAGGGGCGCAGGATACCAGGCGAGGAGAGGCACCCTAGGGCGCCCTGGTGTTTAGATGAGCTTGCCCTGCAAGCAGAAACCTAGCTGGCGCCGCCTTCTCCAGGGTAGGGGTGGGGAGAAGCTGCTCCTCTTTGGTTTCCTGCCTACTAAGCAGCCTTAAGGCAGGAGGGGAAGCGAGTGGAAGCAGGAAGAGAAGGAGCAATTGAACAAATGCCAATCCATAGAGGAATCCTAGCATTGTCGAGTTGGAAAGGATCCCGAGGGATCTCGTCCAAGCCCCTGCAATGCAGGAATCTCGACTAAAGTATCCATGGCAGATGGACATTCAACCTCGGCTTTAAAGCCTCCGAGGAAGGAGAGTCCAGACGCCCAAAGAAGGCGGAGGGATGCGATCCGATCCCAAGCCTGGGACTGGGCTTTGGAGACCTCCGGGCCTGGCAAGAACTTGGCTGAGGCGCTTCCTGGGTCGCACAGTTTCAGAGGTCGGGGTAGCTGCCAGCCGTTGTTGCACTGCGTCTCGTGATCTGGGGTTTTGAATAGGATGCTGTATCAAGGGAGCAGCAGTGGTAATCCGCCACTGTGTTGGTTTTAGCTCAACTGCGTATATCAGGGGTCAGCAAACTTTTTCAGCAGGGGGCCGGTCCACTGTCCCTCAGACCTTGTGGGGGGCCAGAATATATTTTTTTGCGGGGGGGGGGGAATGAGCAAATTCCTATGCCCCACAAATAACCCAGAGAAGCATTTTAAATAAAAGCACACATTCTACTCATGTAGAAACACCAGGCAGGCCCCACAAATACCCCAGAGAAGCATTTTAAATAAAAGGACACATTCTACTCATGTAAAAACACACTGATTCCTGGACCATTTGTGGGCCGGATTTAAAAGGCAATTGGGCAAAGCGAAATTTTGAATCTTGCAATGTGACGGTGATAATATCCTGGAAAGAATAAATCCTGGGCAGTTGGGAGGTTCAGCTACTCTATTCCAGTGAATTCTCCAACTCTTTCTATATTTAAAGTACAACTAACTGATTTGTAGCGCTGTGAACCAAGGGAAGTCTATAGAGCCCTCTAGAGAAATGCAATTTCCAGCAGCTTCTCTTGGGTTGGGGGGGAAAGCTGAGCAACAAAGCAAATTGTTCCCTGGAAACCTTACAGCTGAAATATAACATGTTCGTTTATTTCCCTGGAGGTATTGCTGGCACTTGGGGTAGTCTAAAAACAGCGCAGAAGCAGCAATTAATTTCCCACCTTCCTTTTTGGTTCTTGCTGGTAGTTGTGAGCGCTTTGCAATAAATGACTGCTAGTGCCGGGTAGGCAGCTTGAACTGAGAAGAGAGGAAACTGACCTTGTGTGCTTTATTTCACTGGGAAACAAGCCCAGTTTGATCACGTCTGTGTAGTGTCCTCTCTGGTGTTTTGTGTACCACTAACTTCAGTGAGATTAGGAAGGACCAAAGTACAAAGTAAATGGAGCCTGGGCTGCCGTCTCTCTTGAATGCACTCTGGGAAGTAAGACCTGTAGAACTCAAAAGTGATTTAATTCAATCTGTTATTAGGCTGTTCAAGTGTCAGCTGAAGGCAAAGCACGCATACAAGCGCACTTGGGATTTTTCCTGCCTTCTTGGAGTTCCTTGGAGGAAAGATGGGGTATAAATGTAATACAGTGGACACTTGGGTTGCGAACGTGATCCATGGGGGGGCACGTTCGCAACCCACAGCGTTCACAACCCGCAGTGCCGTGTCTGCGCATACGCAGGTTGCGATTCAGTGCTTCTGTGCATGCACAACCGCCGAAACCCAGAAGTAACCTGTTCTGGTACTTTCGGGTTTCGGCGCGTCCGTAACCCGAAAAACGCCCCCAACTAAAGAATCATGGCAAGACAAACTGATGGACTATGCAGAACTGGCAAAACTGACATATAAACTACGGGACAAGGGTAACTGTGACTTTAAGAATGAATGGGAACCCTTCACAAAGTATCTGAAGACGCAACAAAGCGAACTGGACTCCTTGGCAGGTTTTGAATAAACATTCACAAACTTTTTATTGTTAATAATCAGCTAAATAGTTTGAGGATCTATACAACTGTGTAACATGCAGAAAACAGCATTCTTAGAGAAACCAAAGACTGGAACTGAGAGAAGTCAGGGGGTGCAACCTGAAGCATCTGTAACCCGAGGTATGACTGTAATAAATAAATAGGATATACCCACCACTCTCTAAATGTCCCTGAGGCTCCTGCCCTTTGAAGATAGCCTGGCATCAGGGAGGGTCCTTCTGCATCTTCAGGCACTAAAGATGGGTGGGGGCTTTTCTTTGATCCCATGCTCCTGCCAGAGTACAAACTGTACTAGCCCAGTGGTAAGCTGGCAAGTGCATTTGTGGATTCTTAAAGATTCCCAAAATTCGCAAGAACGTTGGAAGTTGCCTTACAGCAAAACAGACCATCGGTTCGTCTAGCTCAGTACTGACTGACTGGCAGTGACACTCCAGAAGATGCTGGGGATAAAACCTGACATCTTCACCGGCATGTGAAGTAGCTGCTCTGCCCCTGAGCTTTGGCTCATCTGGAGTGGGCAGCTTGGAACTCCTTCAGTCTTCCTCTAGACCCTTAATTTCTACACAGTTATCTCTCTGTACACTTCACAGTAAAGTAGATTCAACTGAAGTCACTGCTTTGCATTCAAACTCTGACTTGGAATAATTCCAAAATGAGAGTCTAAAAGGCTGCAGTCCTAACCATGTCTACTCAGAAGTAAAGTGGGGGTTAGGACTGCAGCTT